AGTAACAACAAATAAAAGTCTGCAATGTCATTAGCATTAGTTGAAACTTATTATATTATTTCACTTAAATATCTAATATGTCTAGTTTTATCCTCCTGAGACCCAAAAAAACCGATTTCAGATACTTGGAATGTAACTGTGGTGAAACCGATTAAGTGCAAAAGCGGCCTGCCGTACATGTGAGCTTCCTCATGCTGCTGAAATGATCTGCTGCTCACAGAGTAGACCCCGACTGTTAAATTAGCAAGATGGACTTAAGAGCGAGCAACCATCCACATCTTTTCATCTCCACTGTTAACAAGAAAAAAATGTTTTTCAGACTCCGGTCTGGGTAAAAATAATAAATAAATACGGTTGTTTCGCTATGCGTGTGTGCGCACGCGTGTGTGTGAACAGGTTTTTGCTTCATGATGGGTACAATTATTGACCATTTCCCTGGTACACACAGACAGGTGAAGTTAGGGTTTGGGTCAGGTGTGTAGTCTACCTGAGAGGTTATGGTTGGCTGTAGAATTGACAGGGAAATGAATGGAAGCCAATGCAAAGTCCCCATGAGGATAGTACAATAAACGTGTGTGCGCGGGAGGTGTGGAGCGGAGCCCTTGAGCAGAGCGCAGTGTTATTAGAGATGAGACTGTCGGCGGGCGACCATTGATGCAGCTGGATTATTTTTATGGAATATAGAAACTTTTGTTTCAGCGGGCGACCGCTCCCCGTCGAACGAATGGTCGCACCAGTGCAACCGGACATTTTTTTTTTTAGTCGCACTATTAGGAAATCAGGTCGCATTTGCGACCAAATTGGTCTCACTCTAGAGCCCTGTAGTCTGATTTGTTGTTGTTACAGACCTGTATCAGTAAAAATACAGAAATGTCTGATCAGACATTTTTCAGCTCAGATCAGAAACTCAGTTTGCAGTTACGTTATTATTTTTATTTTCTGACACTTTCTTCACCTCTGCTCTGGTAGAGTGGAGCACATTGTGGGCAACCTGCTGATGCAGCTCCTGCTGGGCATCCCGCTGGAACTGGTCCACAAGGGATTTGAAGTGGGGATGGTTTACATGTCCGGAGTTCTCGCAGGTAAACTCCAGCTTTCAACGCTTRTTTCACTTCTTCAGGCTTCATAAAACAAACAGCTGCGTTTCAGGTCTTTGTGAAACGTTTGACCGGATCTCGTCATGAAGTTTATTTTCCTGCTTGTGTTTGAGCTTTACTTCCTGCTCAGTTTTTTTTTTTTTTTTTTTTGTGTGTGTGTGATCAGGTTCTTTGGCCAGTTCCATCTTTGATCCTCTCAGTGCTTTGGTCGGGGCATCCGGGGGAGTCTATGCTCTGCTGGGAGGGTATTTCATGAACGCAGTGGTGGTAAGTTTATACACAACTTAACTGGTATAAAAAACCTTTAAACCTTGTATCTGTGGGCAGGGGTKTAGCACCAAATTCTGGGCCCTGTACACTCTCGATGTCAGTGGGCCTCTATCCATGCCAGTGCACGAGGTGCGTAAGCAAAAAAGAAAAAGGAGGTATTTTTTAAAATAAAGAAGCATAAAAAGGGTTAGAAGCTACAATCAGATCAGATTATATTGACGAGTGGTTCTTTCATTCACCTGCTGAATTGATGCATTTGGCCTACCTGTGTTCAAATACYTAAAACATTATGCAACATCTGGTTTGTGTRCTAATGTTGTGATCCATGACACTCRAGCAAATGTTGATTTAAAAACATTTATTCTTGAACATCAGACAAACATTTGGTATTTGTTTAGTACGTGACTTGTGCTCAATTTACCTGTCTGCACGCATCGTAAACTGATGCAGTAATAGTCAAACCATATTAACTGAGATTATGGTCACCTTCATTAAACCATGTTCTGTATCAGTCCTTTAAACTCACTGAGAATACAGTTTGACAATCAACCATAGTTTCATACAACATAGACACACAGGTGTGTTTATCCTCTCTAACAGAGGCATCAGAAAACTTGTCATGTGTGTAAAGGACACACAGGAGGGGAGACTGGGGGTTATTCAGAAACTTTTGAATAAAATAGAGGCTGTTTCCTGATTTCTAATGTATTTTAACAGGTTGTTAAAGATACTTTTACTTACACAAATAAAGACTTAGAGACAACTAGAGACAGATTCTTCATTAAACTAGTTGTATCGTCCTGTTTTTAAACTCACTTATGGCTCAGAGAATTCAATTAATGTGATAATTTGTCCCAAACAAGCTTAGAGCAGGTTTTTACATTTATTTTGTTTATTATTAATTTAATCTTATTTATAACATGTCCTGATGCATCTCAGTAATCCAGATAAAAAATCAAAAGGAAAAAAATTGTATAGGTCCTCTGGACGGGTTCTTCTTTAATGAAACGTT